TGGACCTTGATGTTGAAAATAGCAAAAATAAATATACAAGTATGTCGGTAATTTGTCAATATGTCGGTAATAAAGTTTGTATATTTATCTACCAGCTATACGATACCGCTCGTTTAAACGAGACTCTCAAATGTTAAAATAAAATAATATCTAAAATATTAATTCTTCTCTGTTCTCATATCAAATACAAGATTGCATTCGCATATTAAGAGTTCTTGCATAAAGCTTCCTTCCTAGTTACAGTTTCATATTTATAAAATAAATTTGTTCAAAGTTTCAATGGTGTTAGTTGTGTTATATTTATATTAAATAGTTTTTCAATATCATATTTTAAAAGCTATACTCCCATTTCCATCACTTGAAACTTGATATCTGAAACCTGACACTTGATACGTGAAACCTGATACTCGGATATTGAAACTTGATACTTTATACCTGAAACCTGATACTTGAAACTTAAAACTTGATATTTGAAACCTGATACTCGGACCTTGAAACCTAATATTGAAACCTGACACTTGATACCTGAAACCCGATACTCAGAACCTGAAAATTGATATACGAAACCTGACACTTGATACCTGAAACCTGATACTTGGATCTCGAAACGTACTTTTATTTTGCTGCGTACTTGATGACTCGAGAGTGACTCTTCGAAGAATTTTTACGTTTCGCAATACCGACCAGACTTGTAACTCGATACTTGAAACTTGATATTTGAAACCTGATACTTGATACCTGAAACCAGATACTTGGAACTTGATACGTACTTTTATTTTGCTGCGTACTTGATGACTCGAGAGTGACTCTTCGAAGAATTTTTACGTTTCACAAAAGCTCGGAGTGGGCTAACAATTTTTGTGACATTACCGAGGGAAAACAGTTTCTGATTTTCTATCGGTTTAGCTAAAATTCGGCTGAAGATGGAAGTGCGAGAGATTTTTAATCGCAACTAGGATTTTTAGCTACTCTCGGAGAGCTTTTTATTCTGCAACCTGAATAAAACCTTCAGCATACTATTTGCGAAGGTACTATTGCTTCGTACATGCTGAAGAAGCCCTTTTTCGTGCAACGCAGGAAATAAAACATGGCAACGCGATACGGAAAACGTGATTCGGCAAATGTTTCGATGGCACTCGCAATTTTGTCAGATCGAGTAATGGAATGCTATTAATATATGGAGTGTTATGATCATTAATAATCAGCACCACGATCAATGTATTCGAATAATTAAAGCTGATGTAACAATGAATGGGAATATTCGAGTAAGGAAAATAAGTCACATTCTCAACACTATCACAAATAATAACCACAGCAAAAATAATTAATCGAATTATTAAAAATAATCTCCAGTTTCAGTCATTCATAAACACTAGTACAGTTTTGTTGAATCAACAATTCAGTTACATAATTCACTTAAACCGATAAAGCCATTTACCGCCCCGTTACGTAAACTAGCGAACAGGTAAAACAATCGATTGCAACGTTTAATTTTAATTAGTTTCACTTTCATAATTGGCATACAACCGTGACAATAATTACTACGATCGTCGAACACTTGAACACTACTACCTGTAATAATAAATTAAACTAATCGGATAACGCGGTTTAAAGCCTGTTAAAATTATGAACCTCTCTATATCATCTTCTAGTAAATTGGCGATCTAGTTCCGAGAGTACTCTAACTAGGAAAAGTCACTCGACTATCAAACATCCACTCAAAAAGTAGAAACTAGGAGTCACGTGCTGCCGCGCGAAACCAGTCTAGGGAAGTTCTATTAGTCTCTCTGTAGCCGGCGATATTTCGATAAAACCGCAACATGCATTCGCACCCTGTGAGCAGACAGCCGTGTGACCGTGCACACCCCACGACCGCACCTGCGAACATTACTTTGGAAGTTTTCCCGACACCAAATAACTCTGAAACGAAATTACGGAAAGCATTCTTATCCGCGCGGCTGTGATTAAATTTAAAAAATTGCGGACGTAGGGATTTGTTGAGGTGGTTGGGAGAAATTGAAATTTAGGGGTGAGATTTGAGGACATGGAAATTTGAGGGATGGGAGAAATTTGGAGATAGAGGTTTGAGAGATGGAAATTTGGGGAGGTGGAAATTTGGAAGGTTGGGAATTTGGGGAAGGTGGGAAATTAGGGGGATGGGAAGTTGGAGAGTTGGAATTTAGGAATTTAGAAATTTTGGAGGATGGAAATTCGGAGAGGTAGAAATTTGGGAAGGTGGAAATTTGGAGAAGTTGGAAATTGGGAAATTACGGAATTAGGAAATTATGGAATTGGGAAATTAGGGAATTGGAAAATTAGGGAATTGGGAAATTAGGGA